TATGTTTTAAGAGCAGACAAACCTATTTATAGAGAAAACAACTGAAGATAAAACAGGAAAATTACCTGAAGGCCCATCACTAAGACTTTTATGGACTTCACCTTATAGGCCAGAAGTTGCAAACTGTGCAAACTGGTGAGCCATTAGCTGAAACTGTCCTACTATCAGGTTTGATCAGACACTGTAGTATTTTATAAATCTGAGTTGCCATTTAAAAATTAAGAGATTGTCTTTATGGCCTTAGATTTGGCAAAGAATTTTTAGATATGACATCAAAAACATGAGGGGAAATAGAAAAATGGATACTCTGAACTTCATAAAAATTAAAAAATTTTGTGCTACTAAGGACACTGTCAAAAAAGTGAAAAGACAACCCACCAAATGGAAGAAAATACTTGCAAATCATATATCTGATAAGGGACTTATTTGTGAAATATATAAAGAATACTTACAGCTCAATGGTTTAAGAAATTTTAAAAATAAAAATCAGGAAATTTTGTTTTAAAATCCAGTTTCACTTGAAACAGTGAAAGAACTGACCACTCCTGAGCTCACATTTTATGGTGATGACAAACTGAAGCTGCGCAATGGCTGCCTCCTCTAGGCAGCTCCCTAATCAGCCGCAGGCCCCATAACTCCTCATTGCTTCCCCAACCCAGCCTGCATTCCTCATTGAATCCTGTTGAAGACAATCAGGGTTCCAAAGATGGTTGTCCAATCACTCTATGCACAACCTCTTTAAAACTGAACTCATCTGGCCCTCAGTTGGAAATTTTGTGTTTTGTGTGTTGTTGTTTTCTTCACTGATTCTTTTCACCATATTCCAAGAAAACTGTTAGAAAGCAAAGAATACACCATATATGTTGCATCTCTCAAAACACCTAGCACAAGACTAAAAACAAACTAGTACTAAATGAATGCATAAATGAATGCATTCTCTGTGATCCTCTTCAATACCTGCTTTTCTTCCCCCAAATTATAGACTTTTGCTATTAAGATAGACTAAAATGATGAGAGGCATGTAATAAAAAATAAAACACTAAAGTCAATCACTGCATTCCTATTTCAATTTTCCATTAGGTTGCAATGGAAATGGGAACTCTGAATAAATGCAGAACAGACCATTATGTCTGACAGCAAGATGAATTAGAGCCCAAGATGCTGAGAATGCCTGCAAATAAGATTACCAAACACTATCAGTGGTCTTTGAGGGAATTATGAAAAATAGGATAGGTGCCAAAAAGCTCTAGATGGGCAAATGTTGTTCTAACTTCAAATGGGAACAAGTTATAACTTGCCAGTTCCTGACTAGAGAATGATGTCACTCTCAGGCAAGATTGTTGAACAGATTTGTAAAAGGACATTTGTGAGCACATCAGTCAGGAAGCAATGTCCATTTAGAACCAGCACGAGGTCACCAAAAACAAGTCATATTAAATTCGTTTCATTTTCCTTCTCTCTGACAAGGATCCTAACTATCGGATTGAAGAATTAGAGCAGATATAAATATATATGTTTGCAATGAGGGGTTGGGCAGTGAAAAGGCTAATTGAACCCTTGGGCTATATTAATAAAAGCATTACATACATCATAAGAAAGGTGATAGTTGTTTTCTTTCTCTGATCACATCTAGAGGATCTCATTTAGAACTTAGCACCACTCTTGAAGACGGCTTTGGTAGTGTAATCTTTTAGAGACCTATTTGGCAAAGTCTCTGTAAAAGCATGAAGCTCTCATCCAGATTTCTGGCATCTGTTGAAAAATGAAAAGATCTGGCTGGGCCTCCATTCCCTAATGGTCAATTGGTTGAATCCAGGTAGTGATTGCCCTTTTGTACAGGATACCCACCCTCAGATGCATCATAATCACTACAACACCTTCTTATATTGCCTTCACTGAGGTAGTGGAACACCTGTCACAAATCATCTTATTTGGCCATCCTCACTCATTTATTCTACATGCCAACCACCCAAATGCACTGGAGTTTGCAACCCAGGATGCAGTAGAGTCAAAGGAGAGTGAAGATAAGCAGCAGAGAGTTATTGTAAATCAACAAATGAGGATAATCATAGTCTAGGGGCTGTGATCAGAGTCTCCAAACATCCAATGGGCAGACATAGAGAAGAAGCATCTGTCTTGTTCTATGAAGTCCCAAGAGGCAGATACTATGAACCAATAAATGGATGAGAGACTTATTTAACCCAACATAAAACCACTTTCAACAGCCAGAGCTGTCCAAAGATAAAGTACGTGGGCTTTGGAAGTGGTGAGTTCCCCATCACTGGAAATGAACAAGCGTATGGTATACTACTGCATTGCAGGTATTTAATCAAAGGAATTCAAGTATCTGATGAAGTAAGAATAGGCATGGAGTCTGAAATTTTTACAACAGGAAGAAAATTTGCTTTAAAATATTTCTTTGGTTAGGTCAACAAATTCTCTAAAAAGAGATAAAAGAGAGTACGTTTACAAAGAACTCAGTATCATTTTTAAAAATCAAAAGTTCCCTGCACAGAGGACAAAAATCTGTCTAAATAGGTGGTGTGTTTACAACAAACTGGTCAAATGCTGCCCAGGGAGAAAGATAACTGGCATCAGGCATTATCTTTGGTGATTGGTCAAACATTCTTCAGAGGCAAGCAACAAAAGCAAGGCATCAAAGTAAGAGGGAAAACAATGGAATGCCACAAAGAGGCAGCCATCCCCGCCACAAAACTGCCATCTGCTACTGACATCAATCCTTCCAGGGGCAGCTGCAGGCAAACAATGTATCAGAGAACACTAGGCCTGGCAGAAAACCTGCCGCCTTCACATTTCAGTCTTGTGACCTTGGGCTAGTCATTTAACATTACAAAGCTTCAGTTTCATGTCGTGTGGACCCTTTCTGAACCTTGTGCAAACCAAGAGTCATGATACCTGGGAGTGACCCACAGAAATTGTAGAGCCCTGTACACAAAATAATAATGAGGAGGAGCAAAGAATTTTGAAAGAAAAGATTCCAGATGGTTTGGGGCACAGCAGCATCCTGACCTTAATTGTGTGGGTGTCAACACAAAAGGAATAAATTTAAACTCTTGTATCTAGAATGCAGAGGCATTTGGAGTCTGGAAGGGACAAGATCATTTGGGCAAATTTCCTGCTGAAATGCATTACCTTAGTTTGCAACCCGGGTAATGCATTTAGTTTTTAAAATAAAGGTGAAATGTAAAAAGTAAAAGAATCAGCCAGAGCCATAAATGTTTAATAGATCTTCCAGCTAAGTTCACTGGCCCAGTGGTAGCAATCCTTCAAAGTTATCAGCACATATCCTACCAACCTGTCCAAAACTCAGTATCCCCTTCTCCATCATGGCTTTTTTTCAAAGAAACCTCCATTTATTTTAAAAAAAAAAAAAATCACACACCTTAGTCTTAGAATATATAAACTCTCTAATTTACCCAAGCAGTCAGGTAAATTCAAATCTCTGACCAGGGCTTGTTTCTAAATTTTCAGCAAATCTGAAGCATCAGAAGTCACTGTTTTCTACACTGAACTGAAAACTAAAGGGGAGGAGAGCAGAGGGTTTTCTGCTTATTTCATCCTAGGGTCTACCCAGAGGTGGTTAGCATGTGAGGTTCGACCAGGACGAAAAGACACAAGACAGTTGGTGAGACTGGAAAAAAATGAGGCTCCCCCCTGATGGCGGCTCCCCTCCCAAAGTTTCCCAAGCGTCTGAAGCGTGTACAGCAGCTGTGACTGCCCGGCCTGTGGCCGTTCCTGGGGAGACAGCCGCCTTTCTGGGTCACTGAGTCTTGAGCTGCAGCAGCACCTAGAAGCAGGTGTGGCAACCTCAGATCAGCTGAGCTCCAATAACCAACTTGCCCAACAGTGTACTCATCACCTCAAGGGGCGGGAGGCACCAACATCCACGGAAGAGGTACCCTGTCTTTACTCTTTCTGAGAGAGACCACAACACACCCGTGTAGCAACAGGGAGAACTGTGACCATAAAGAAAACAGATGCTGAGAGGGACAGGCCCCAGCTTCCCTAAGAGTATATCCTCAGAGAAAGAGTGAGGAATGGTGCTTTTAGATTGTCCTTGCCAAAGCTAAGCCTAGAACTCATGAGGGTGGGAGAAGCCTGGCCTGTATGAGGGTTCTGCCTGCATTTGTCTATGCAATTGTGTGTCCAGTGTCCTTTTTCGCCTTGCTATTGTGGACTTAGGGAGGGGCTCCTGGGAGGGGTGTGCACCGAAGCTGGAACACGCAGCCAGAGGTCATCTCACCCTCCTGGCTGGCTCCCCTTGGCACCATGGAAGCCAGGCAGCACCTATCAGTCGACACAGCGCACTGAGCTGCTCGCTTTGAATGAAAACTGATGACCCTAAACGCTAGTGCATGGGAGGAGGTTGGGGCTGCACTCTGAAAGAGAATATATTTTCTGCACCAAGCTCCCTCCTTATACCTAAATGCCTGCATTAGTTTGGATCAATATGCCCCATTACAGTTAATCCATGGCAAGCCAGGCCAACAGAGAGGCTCTGACAAAGCAGTGCAGCCTCCCTGTGCTACCTCCCTGTGCACATGCATGTGAATTTCAGCCCAGAGAAAGACGCAGAGGCAAGCAACGACAGCATAAAGGAGGAAAAAAAAACAAAAACAAAAAAAAACATAGTAGACCGTAACAAATAGACACCATATTAAGGGACTTTCAGGAGGCCTCAGAGTGACATGTCACAGCCGAAATGATGGAGTATCTGAGACACTCCTAAATCCGGGGTCGGATCCTCATCGCACACCTGCAATGCAGTGATCGCTACCACTTCACAATCCATACACCCAGCACCAGTGCGCTCTGCAGTGGAAACCAGTCCGGACTTGTACAGCTGCCACTGTTTCTCCTCACAATAAGATTATTGATGCATAACAACATTTCATAATGGCAGGGAGGAAAAGGGGGAAAGCCGAAGCAAGGGAATAAGAAAGGGGTGGGGAGGCATGAGTCCCCGGCCCGCGTCTCACCTTTTATTTGGGCTTCATATTCAGCAATGATCTCTTTGTCTTTCTTGAACTTAGTTTGAGATGACATCTTCCAATGTGGCCAAAGGCACTGGCAAGCTATTTAATTTATATCTCCTTTTCTTCCCGTATTCTCTCTTACACGGCTCTAGTCGATTTCCCAGGTTTAGGGGCTAATCTCTTTCACTTGGCTGCAGAGCCAGAGGGGGGAAAATCCCTCTCCTGGAAGGAAAATTCTCTTTACTCGCAAAAAATGTCTCTAGTAGCTTGGTCTGGTCAGCTCCTCTTGCAAAAGAACCACTACTCTAGGAGCACAGTAACCTGCCCCAGATTTTCAAGATTTTTTCTTAAAAAAAAAAAAAAAAAGAACACAAGCGCGTACACACACACACACACACACACACACACACTCACACACACACGCATGCACTCACACACTCATCTGGACACGCACACACACAGTCACAATGCACGCACACACACCCTCACTCACACCCACTCACACACACACAGACACATCCACAAGAGGTGCGGCGCCTCCTTGGTGCTGCAGTCAGTCTCTGGCTGTCTTTCCAAGACTCTGCTAAGGAGATGGTCAGGTTGCCAAAGGGCCAGTCATCTCGCATCCTCCCTCCCTTCAGCGCCTCTGGTCTGATGTACAGTGAGGATCAAAGCCAGAAGAGCGAGGAGGAAGTTCTGCTGCAAGGCTTCAGCTCCGGTGAACCCAGAGTAGGACTGCTCGCCCTGCGGGGCTGGCTTGAGCACTCCCCCACCAACCTCGCCCTCGTCACTAAGCTCCACCTCCCGGATTTTATAACAACTGACACATTGTAGCCTACAGGAGAGCAGGGCTCACTGCAAGCAAAAAGAGGAAGAGACAGTCACAAAAGGGAAGGCAGCAGGAAAAAGAATCAGGCTGGGAAAACCAGAGAGGCCCCTGCAAACGCCTACTATTGGCAGTGGGGTTAGGGAATTTTCTCCCAAAATCTCTGAAAGGTCCACCTTTTCTTTGTAGTGTGCAATTTATCCAATTTCTTAAAGCAACAGCTCTGTGACAATTTGTCACTCTGTGGGAATTGTCTAGCAGAGTTGAGGGGCTGACCCGGGTAGGCATATTCATTAATATTTTTCTGAGCAATGGTGGGGTAGCAGGGACAATGACAAGCGTTTCAGACATGCAGTTTTGCAAACCCTTTGAGGGCAAGCATGCTGATACACCCAGCTGCCTTTGTCTCTCACTGGGCTTTGGGCAAATTAATTACTCATTGAGCCTTAGTTTTCTCACCAATAAAATGGGCTTTGGGGGCTTTTTCATTCAACAAATATTTATTGAACGTTTTCTATAAGTCAGGCATTGTTCTGAGCACAGGGACACAGTGATCAAAATAGGAAGGATCACACAACTCCAGGAAGTCACTACATTAATATTCTCAGAGCAGAATTCAGAATGCACTGTGAGTGGTGCCTGTGGAATTGGGCAAGGCAAGAGACCCTGGGAGGGGCAGATAAAAAATAAACAAAATGAGTAAATTATGTAATATGGTAGAAGATGGTAAGTGCTATAGAGGAGAAAATATTGCAGGGTAGGGGACTTCAGGAATGAAGGAGCTCTTAAGAAGATCAAATAAGAATGTAAAGCCAAGCTTAGCACTCAATCAATGACAGCAATTATTATGACTTTATGATATCCCCACCAACACCCTAACAACATAGTATAAGTATCTCTCTCACACAGATGAAGGAACAGAAGCACAGATGTGGAAAGTGACTTACCCAAGGTCACCAGCATTCAAACCTAGGCTGTCTGACACCAGAACAGATTCTGACCATGCAAATGCTCAAAACATTCTACTAGAGAGCTGAAACCTATTTCATGTGCCTTTAAGGTAGAATAAAATTGAAAAACGAAATCAAACGCTATATAGGGTCACTGACTACTGGAATTTCGCATGCTAAGATTATCATTAACATGTCTTATCCCCTGAGTATGGCATTTTCACAAATTTCTCAAAACAGCCTTCCATTTACCTTTTTTAAAAAGGTAATTAATTACTTGACTCAAATTCAGAAATGAATAGATCACCCATGCCAATCCATTGAGGTTTCCCTGAGAGGGTGGAGCTGTAATGGGTCTCCCCAGGTAGGCATGGTGAGGGGAGTGTGGGCAGCAGGGCATTCTTTTGGAGCAAACAGTAAGAGCTAAGGTACAGATGGGAATACACAGGATCTACTTGGAGAAATCACAGGGGAAAGTCCAGCTGGCGAATAACAGGGCTTATTTCAGCTTTGTGCCCAAAGATAGGAGTTTGCAAAGTTCATAAATCACAACCGGCCCATTGTCATTGCCCTTCTACCTCACCCTTCCTGTGGTCATACTCAGGCACTCTTTGGTTCCCTTTTGGACTAGTTTAAGAAAGAGAACATCGTGCATGTTACCTGAGGAAGATGTGCTCAGAGATTAGCATCCCTGCTTCATGCCTAGGCTCTCAAAGAAAAATAGGAATCAACACTGCACACCTTGGCATGTGGCAGATGGAGTCCCCTGCCTGGCTCTGCCACTGACTAGCTCTGAGAAGGAAAGCAAGTGACTTAACCTGCTTGTTGCCCATTCGAGACAGGAACCAATAAATGTCAGCTATTCTCTTCATTACTAAAATTTTAAATGCACTACTAAAATTTTAAAGCCATAAATATTTCTGGGAGACCCATATGTAGGGCACTGAGCCACAGGAATTCACAAAAACCCATATAAATTTGAATCAAAGTATGGTACAGAGCTATGTGCTAAATGGCAGGAGAAGCTGGATTCTGGTATAAGACAGATGGTGATTTAAATTCTGGCTCTGCTGATTACCAGCTTATAGGGGGCCTTCTCTGAGCCTCAGTTTTCTCATCTACAAAATGATCTCACTCATTGCACAGGATCAAATGCAATTGGGGATTTAGAGCGCCTGGCATATAGCAGACATCCCACAGATATTTTGTGTGGTTTTTTGGGCTCAACCATGCTGGACCTAGGACAAGACCCCCAGACACACAGGTTAAAAGCAGGAAGAGAAGAAAGGGGGGGAAATGGGAAAAAGAAGAAAAGGGCTGTGCCCTGGCAAATATATCACGGCACACAGTGAATCACACCATCCAGAAGCTTCTGTTTCCAAGAACAGGTGATGTGACCTAGGCAGGCCCCCTGGCACCATGTCCTCACCCTTTTCCTTCCAGTCCTTCCCGCAGCTCACCCCAGTCTCCCAGCTTCCCTTCTGTGACACACTCCTCCCCGTGGCCACTTCTTCCCTTACTATATGAGAACCAACTGCTATTCCAGATGTTCATCCCCCACATGATAGTAACAGAAACTAGATTTCTCCCTCGAGTAAATGTGGTCTGCCTCAAGAAAAGGGGTTCTACCATTGATCTGTGCCAACCCCACAGGGTGGGAATACCTGCTGGAAGGGTATATTCCATTTCCCTTGGGCTCATCTTATGATTTTTTTTTAATATTCCTGAATGATACTAATAGCTAGTATTTACCGAGCCCTCATTCCATACAGGCACTGGACCAAGGACTCTAGATAGATTGTCTCACTGACTTCTGCTGCAACACAGTAGTCAGTTGCTGAGATCATTCTTGCTTTACATGAGGTGAAATAGAGGCACAAAGCAATCTGTCCAAGATCACACACTGGATTACTAATTGAATCATATTCAAGTCCAAGTCTGACCAACATCAGGGTCCAAGGACTTAACCAGTACACAAGTTGAATACTGATTTTTTTTTTCCAATCAATAGTGTTCAACCTAAAGCTTGCTACTTTAAAAAAAAACAATAATAATTGGGGCCTAGGCAAGTGTGGTTCAGTTGGTTGGGCATTGTCCTGTACACCAAAAAGTCGCTGGCTCGATTTTTGGTCAGGGGACATGCTCAGGTTGTGGGCTCAATCCCCAGAAGGAGGTGTTCAGGAAGCAGCTGATTGATGTTCTGTTCTTACATAGATGTTTCTCTCTTTCTCTCCCTCTATCTCTCTAAACTCAATAAAAATATTTTAAGAAAAAGAATTTTGGGTTAAAAATACAAGAAAATCGTGTCACAAATGGCCACTGATGAGGTTTAAATTACAACAGCTGAATAACACAAAACCCACAGAACTGGTTTCTTCTCTTGGCAGAAAAAGAAAAAGAAAAGAAAAAAAAGACTCTACTTGAAGGAAGAGTGACCAGAATAGTTTTTGCTTTAAGGCAATTTTATTTTTCTGGTCAAATATGAACCCTCCTAAGATGACTAATAAGAGTTGACATCTTTTGTGACATTCTCCATATTGTTACCAACTAAAGTATCCGTGGCCAGCTCAGTGAATAATTCTGCCCTTCAATCTCTGCTCTGCAAAAAGAAAGCAAAAACAACTCAGCTATTAATAGTTAATGCCAGAATCTGATACAATTAATAGTGATGATGACAACATGCCTTTTGTGTATATATTGTTTTATATTTTAAAAGCCCTTTCATATTATTTCTTATTTGGTACTCACAGTAACCTGGGAGATAAGTAGGGCTGTTTTTAATCCCTGTTTGACTAATAAGAAAATGAGTGGATAAGTGGAAGCTCTGATGGAAGAATTATTTTATAACCTCAAGTATAAGGATGGTCTTCTTAACTGTGTCACAAAACCCACCTGGACATGTTCAATTACACTGCAATTTTTTCAGAACTCTGCTTGCAAAAGCCACCATAAGCCAAGTCAAAAATAAATGGTAAGCTGAAATACAATATTTGCAATACCTATCATAAGCCAAAGACTATTTTCTCTGATATATAAAAATATACTAATTTCCCTGATATATAATTCAAAAAATATGTGTACATGAATGTTCATAGAATTGTTCATGATAGCCAAAAGTGGAAACAGCTGAAATGTCCATCAACATATGAATGAATAAATAAAACATGGTCTATCCATACAATGGAATATTATTCAGCCATAAAAAAGGAAAGAGGGCTGATGATGCTACAACATGGATGAACCTTGAAAACATTATGCTGAGTGATAGAAGACAGACACAAAATGTCACATATTGTTTGAGTCCAATTATTTGAAATATTTAGAATAGATAGACCTATAGAGACTGAAAGCAGATGAATGATTTCCAGGGGCTGGGGGAGGTGGGGAATGAGGAGTGACTACTATATAGATATAGATACGGGATCTCTTTGGTAATGATGAAAATGTTTTAGAACTAGATAAAGGTGATGGTTGCAAAACATTATGAATATGAATATACTAAATGCCACTGAATTGTTAATGAATTGTTCATTGTGAATAGTTAATTTTATGTTATGTGACTTTTACTTCAATAAAAAAATAAATATTAAAAATGTTCCTTCAAATCTATAAGAACACCAACAAACAGCCCAGTAGAAAAATTAGTAACAGATATGAAAGGGAAATATATATATATGAAATGTTAATCAACCTCATTCATAATGAATATAAATCAGCATGGCTGAATCCAGAAACTTTAACAATGTCAATAGGATATATGTCTTCCTCCAACTCTCCCTTATGCTTTCCTCTATAGCAGCGTTTTTCAACCGTGCCATAGGTGCAGACAAGACAAGAATTTTATAATTTTTCACTATTTTGTTTACTTAATATTTCATAATAAAGTAATTATAAAATACTTTCTTTGTGTTTATTTGATTCCTATTCAAGAGAATTACTTTATATATAGTCAATATAGGCACAGAGTTAAATTTTTTAACATTTTC